GCCGGGACGGTTCCGTGTCCTGTGGGGGCTCAGGAGCCGCGTGCTGATTAGACGGCGCGGTTCCTTATGCGCGTGTGGTTCTGAGGCAGCTACCGGGCGCTGGCCAGAACCTGCCCTGAAGGTGGTTTAATCTCTCTCTACAGATTTCCAGGGAGACGGGAAGGGAGGAGAGAGGGAGGACCGCGGAGTGAGAGCAGAAGGTGGGCATCCGTCAGCTGCTCGGGCTCCCGCCGCACCGGCCGGTCCCCTGGTGCCCAGGCGTGGCCCTGACCGGACGGGAGCCCCCTTCAGGCCGGGCGGACCCCGCCCACCGAGCCACCCCGCCAGGGTGCGGGCTGACTCTCCCCCTACTAATTCAACTAATAGTTATAAATGAGCGGTTAGGGGAGAAGTGCTGCCTAATAGAACAGATGGGGGTGTGTTTTGCTTTTCGCAAGTGCAGAGTAAGGCCGATGGTGCGGTAGAGCACCTGCCGCCTTCTGCGACGGTCATGCGCCTGGTTCAGGCGAGGAGAGGGGAGGCCGCCAGACGAGAGAGAGCCTGGTGGCTGTTTTGGTTTCTCTACATCAAAACCATCCTGTTGAGGTAAAAACATGTGCTTTTTCTTTCATTAGAACACCTGGAGTTCACTTGGGTGGCCACCTATTTGCTGTGGGGAGAGAGACCACAAGGCCTGCGGGGAGGGGCAGGATGACGTCACTGGCGCTAAGCTGCCTGCAGGTGGAGCCCGCCGGGGGGGCGCAGGACACAGGACGGGACGGCGGATGGACTGGCCCAGACCAGAAGGCTGGGCATGAGGAACAGACTTCATTGTCCTGGAACCAGCCTGGGGACTTAAACTCTTGAACCCTTTGGTCAGGCTCACGCCTGGAGATACGGAAATCCCTATAGATGACCCTCCCCTGTGGATGACCCTCCCCCGTAGATGACCTTCCCCTGTGGATGACCCTCCCCTGTAGATGACCCTCCCCCATAGATGACCCTCCCCTGTAGATAACCCTCCCCCATAGATGACCCTCCCCTGTGGATGACCCTCCCCTGTGGATGACCCTTCCCCATAGATGACCCTCTCCTCTGGATGACCCTCCCCTGCGGATGACCCTTCCCCATAGATGACCCTTCCCTGTAGATGACCCTCCCCTGTGGATGGCCCTCCCCTGTGGATGACTCTCCCCTGTGGATGACCCTCCCCTGTAGATGACCCTTCCCTGTAGATGACCCTTCCCGGTAGATGACCCTCCCCTGTAGATGACCCTCGAGTGTGGATGACCCTCAGAAGGACCTGGAAAAGAATGCTTACATGTTCAAAGCCCCTGACACCCACCACTCAGGCCACCGCATACCTGGACTTTAAAAACAGAAGAGTGTGAATGTAAGGAAATGTGCTCAAGGTGAAAGTAAGACGCCTCTGCTCATTAGCAGTCACTTGTAGCACAGTTTACCAGAGGCCATCAGTCCCAGAGTCAGTGCAGTGCCTTCAGGACCCGGAGAAAATAGACACTGATATGGGAGAGGCTTACTCATGGCCAGAGCACGAGGGACGGGTCCAGCCGGACATGTTGACAAAGCAGTCAGTCCCAACTCTGACGATGAAGTGCCTGAGAAGCAGGTTTCCCAACAGTCAGCCCCGAGGATCCTGTGGAAATGCAGACTTTGATTCTGCAGGGAGGGAAACTTCTCCCTCTACCCTGTGGGGAGGAAAGATGATTTTCCCTCTACTGCCGGGTCCTTGGCTGAGAGCCCAAGCACCACCTGACACGCCATCTCCAGGTAAAGACACAAGGAGACCTTGGGGGAGGAGGCCAGGAAGAGCAGCACTCAGGAGGGGTGCCCACAGACTGGAGGCCCTGCCTGACGATGAGTGGTCACAGGGCTTCTGGAGAGTTAGTCCTTCCTCTCCCTGGTGCAGGGCCCTTCCAGATGGAGATGTCCCTGGAAGTGGGCATCTCCCACAGAGGCTAACTGCTGCTTTCAGAGCTTCTCCTGTGTTTTCTGTTTCTTAAAAATGATCAGCCTAAAAGAATCCTTATGCCAAAGGGGCCTATTCTGGGGTGACAGACGCTGCTGCCCTTCGCCTTTTAGGGCTCCTTTTGGGCCTGAGAATTAAAGAGCCATAGACGGACAGGAGGAGAGCACAACAGCTTATTGGAAATACGCTTTGCACACCATGGGAGGCTTTATGAGGAATGAAGACCCCAGGAATCGGCAAGACTCACTTGCTTTTATGAACAGGTTGGGCAGAGAGGCAGTTGTGGAAAAGTAAACCGTGTGGCGAGGTGAGAGAAAGAAAACAAGAAAACAATTCCTTTAACAAATAAAATCTGTAGAATTCTGGTCTTGGCCTGGATGGTAAGGGTGCTACTTTCTTTCTGGTGGAGGGAACACCTTTCATATAGGGTTTTTATCTGCCCGTAAAAAGAGAAAAAAGGATAGTGTGTTTTTCTTGTACTTGCTGCTTTTAAGTGCCCGTAACTGCAAATAGTGCGATGGCAGGGTGGTGGGTGGCGGGTGGTGTGCTCGGAGCTGCTTCTCATTCAGGAATCCTAGCTGCGCTCACAAATCGAGCAGCACAGCGTAGAACTGTGGTAGCCAAATATAACTTAACGTCAAATACATACCCTTAGTTTTCCCTAAAATATCACTCAAACGAGGACAGTTATATTCATGACTATCCCATTTATTTAAATTCCATGTATATTTTCCAATGTGATCATAGTTAATTCCTTAAATAGCAAATTGCTGAGGACAGGGACATTCGAGTCGTATTTTTTCAAACGAGGTCTCTATGAAGAGATTTATAAATTAATGATTCATGTTACCTCGTTGAGCATTGCTCTGGGCTACATACAGGGTTTTGCGATGTGAAAGTTCTTTGACGAGGAGGTCACTTACTGATGGGGCTCTGAGGCCTCGCCAGCTAGTAAGCAAACCCCAACCCAAGCCTAGTCAACTCCCTCCAATTCCTGGAGGGCAAGAAGGGCACCCAGTCTCAGGAGGCCAACACGGCTCTCCCCAGCAACGCAGCCGCCGAAGCTGCTGCCGGGCAAGGGCTTTCCCCGCCCCTGCACCTTCTCTACGAAATTGGGGCCCCAGCCCCTGTCTGAGGAGGGCTCCTGAACAGTTTGGTTTGGTGCTGCCCTGTTTGAATCAATTTTTACTCAAGTCAGCTTAAAATTTTTAATATGCCTCAGTTTAACTTTTAACAAGGGTATGGGGGTGTTCAGTGAATGAGAGGGGGTGCCCCCAGCACCTTCGGCACCGACAAACCATTTAATTCTCTGATGACGCCAAATAAAGAACACACTTCAGGGATGAAGTCAAACAGTCCTTTTCTCGCCCGTTTCTTTTTGATGACCATAAAAATATTTTCCTTTGATAAAAAGGTATTAATAGAACAAGTTCAGTGCTATCGAAAAGGTTTAGTTGTCACCTCATGGAGGAAAAAATAGAAACATCCAGAAGTAATCTGCCATGTTATGTACACACTAATTAATTTTCAAACTACCAAAAAAATATTTTTAAACCCTGGTTAAAAACAAGACAACAGATCCAAAATGGAGTCTCTCGTGCTAGGCCCCAACTTCATTCAGTTGAGACTTAATTACAGTTTCAGCTCCTCTGGAAATGGAACCTTCAGCCAGCCAACCGGGCTGGTCGCCCGACCAGCGCTAGTAGGTCATCTGCCCGATTGGGCGCCTGCCTCCCACTAAGGAAGGTGACCTGCGGTAGCACCCACTGTGCTGTCCTGTGTAACTCCCTCGATCCTCCCCTTCTGCCTACGAGCCCTTCATTCTGCACAGCTCCTCGGGCTCCCCCGCCTGCGGAAGGGATGCTGCCCAATTCAGGTATTGTTGAATAAAGCCAGTAAGGTCTTTAACACTTGCTCAGTTCGGGTGTAACACCCCCAAAACTATAAACTGCTGCTATTTGGTGGACTCAAAAGAATGCATCTCGTCAGAGGTGAGCTAAGAGGAGCAAAGGGCCTCTCACCACGACCAGCAGCAGCTGCTCAGAGCTGGGCTGGAGCCAGGGGCGTGGTTGAAAGCACGCAGCCCTTTCTGGCTGAGGGGCGAGCCATCTACATCACGTTACTCTGACTGTATTGACCTCCCATCCAGCTCCTCTAACCACTCAACACCTTTTAGGGGTAAAAAGAGGACAGGGACTGGGGAGATGTGCGGCCAGCCTGCTGCCGTGGATGCCGCGTCCTGCTGGACGGGGCTGGGGCAGAGCCCCCTCCTCGGTGCCTCTTCACAGGGCCAGGAAGAGGCCCGCTGGGCCCTGAAGGAAAGCTGCACTGGAAGCAAAGCAAAGCAAAGCCATGTCAGAACAGTCCAGACAGTGTTTTCCTACTGTCCCGTTGATCTCAAGGAAGGAAAAGGCAGATGCACAGAGACTCAGATGTGTCTGTTTTATTGCACAAAGCCAAGCTTACAGTACTTCTCCTCATTAACAGCAAAGAACCAACGTGCAGAACACTTTCAGGCTGTTTCAAGTGGCACCCTCTAGGTATACACGTATGAAAAATAACACTGCTGCTCTTGCCCTGAGGTGCAGTACCACCAAGAGTTCATATGTTACAGAACTGATCAAGCAGGTGAGCATACACAAAAGCGGAACAGGCAATATTTATATCATGGGAGGCAGAAATTCCTGTTTTTTTGGAAACTAGCCAAACAGGCCTGAGGACTACGACAAATCTTCCATTTAACTGTTAGCTCTTGTAGACCCATGGCAGCCTCTCCCAACTCTGTCTTCAGCCACCAATCTCACCCCCACCAAGTTAGTTATAAACCTTCAGCCAGTTTAGTCAGTAGAGTTCTGAGAAACAGTCTAAACCTAAACAACTATAGATAATGCTGGAATATTTTTGTAGTTCATTTCGTATGTTTTTAAAATTTTCCTCACTAATTCTAAGCCTGAAGACATTCTTACATTATCTAAATTTCTTAGTTATTTTTTTTTTTTTTACTTTGAGTTGTTTTAATTGGTTTAAATGCAACTTGTATCTTGTATGTAAACAACTCTCCAGAAATGAGGCACTTCTCAGAAACAGAGACCATGTCACTAGCCGGGCAGGAAATTCAGTGGCTTGGACTTGAACAGAATGAGTTCATGACTCAACTTTCCCACATCATCTGCTTGAAAACTGCCGGATTTTTCTGGAGGCATTTAGTGCATTTGGATGTGTTAGATCTGTGATTGGAAATCAGGAACAGACGTGTGCTCACGTTTGCAATGCACCTGCACTATGCGTTAGGAGCTCTGACCCTGTCAATAACAATGGATAAAATAAACCACCAACCTGAGGCAGAAAAGCAAGCAAAGCCACTTTTTCAGGCTTTTAAAACTGTCTTTCCATGTGACATTATGACTGTTCCCCAAATTGAGCAACCACCTTCCATTCAAAGAGCAAGAAACAAATGTAACATCTGTGGCATCAGCTCTACATCTCTTCAGTATGATGGTGTTCAGCTCAGACCCCACGAGGCCAGCCTCACCCTGGCTCCCCGAGAGCAGCACAGGATGAAAACGTTGCCAGGATGGGCAGCGACCTGCTGTGAACCCTTCCATGTTAGCATCAGGAGTGCACGCGTGTCTGTAATGGGCTTCCAGAGATTTATCCGCCCGGAGACTCCAAAAGAGCTGTGTAAAAATCGGCAGAGGAGCCCGGCCGGGTGTGGCTCAGCGGTGGAGCATCGACCTAGGATCCAGGAGATCGGGNTGGCAGAGGAGCCCGGCCGGGCGTGGCTCAGCGGTGGAGCATCGACCTAGGATCCAGGANCGGCAGAGGAGCCCGGCCGGGTGTGGCTCAGCGGTGGAGCATCGACCTAGGATCCAGGAGATCGGGGTTCGATTCCCGGTCAGGGCACATGCCTGGGTTGCGGGCTAGGCAGCCGATCAATGACTCTCTCATCATTGACGTTTCTCTCTCTCTCTCCCCCTCCTTTCCTCTCTCTGAAATCAATAAAGATATGTTTAAAAAAAACAATCTGGCCGAGGAGGAATGGTGAGGGCACTGCCAGCATAGGTAAAGGGCTGACCCATCACGCTCACAAGGAGCAGGGCGGCCAGGGCCACATGGGGTGCACTCAGGTAACACGGGAAGGAAGGAAAGCAAGAAAGAGGAGCTCTGTGTTTTCAAGACAAAAGGGTATTCCAGTGAGGGCCGGGGAGTGCCGCCTCCGAGATGCCCAACTTCTGTCCCTGTAGGGTGTGGGATCTCGGGGTAAGACTTGCTTTCTCAGAGGGGTGGGGTGGGAGGCAGAGAGTGTAAGAGGACCTGGAAGTACTTGAAAATAGTCTAGAAGAAAAAGACTACCATAAACATTTTATATGTTGTTTTGTATGACCACAATCAGGTTTTAAAACAGGATTTTAATATTTAGCATTTGCCTATTGTTTTAATTGTGTATCTTGTTCTTATGCTGTTAACTTAGAAAGCACCTCGGGTGATATTGGCTGCTGAGTGAAAAGTCTGTAGGCATTGTATATTTTCAAATGAGAAATGCCACATTTTTCATCTGTCCCAAAGGTAAAAAAAAGAAGACATCATATGTAAAAAACAAAACAAAGTATTCATTACTCATTTAAAGGGTTAAAATCAGCTACTTTCATTAAAACATACCTGGAGAGTTTTATGCTAAGTGAAATAAGCCAGTCAGAGAAAGACAAATACCATATAATCTTACTTATATGTGGAATCTAATGAACAAAATAAACTGACCAACAAAATAGAGACAGAGGCAGAGATCCATGGAACAGACTGACAGCTGTCAGAGGGGAGCGGGATGGGGGATGGATGAAAGAAGGTGAAGGGAGTAGCCAGAGAGCACATGCACATAGCCACGGACACGGACACCAGTGGGTGTTGGCTGGAGCGAAGGGGGGTGGGGGCTGGGTGGAGGTGGGCAAAGGGAGGGNAAAATAAAGGTAAATTTTTAAAAATACTGTACAGCAAGAAGTAGTCAAACAAAGGTGTTAGAGCTATTCCCAGGTATATCAGCAGAATCTCAAGGCACAGCCCGGGGGCCTTCAGATGTCACTTAGATGTCACTGAGATGTCTTAACTGCAGTGAAGCAAGAAGCCTCAGGAGAGCCAGGAAGCCACAGGCCAGCAAGGCTGCCGAGAAGACAAGACGTACAGTAACTTCACTTCCACTGCCCCCTGCCCCACCGCAGCAAGATTCTGAAATCCTGCTCTTGCAAACTAAAAGTATCATTGTTTGTACTACAGACAGCAGGATCCAGATCCCAAATCAGTAACATAATAGCTGTTACATACCAAGCGGTCCGTGTGTTTCCATCTATAGGCCCTGGTTCACAAGCGTGCCCGGCGGTTTCCCACGGCTCGTCAGGCCGGGCACCCGTGTGCCATGATGGCCCTCCAGACAGCAAGGCCATGGTAACCCACTGACTCCCCTTCCTCAGCTTGGAGCACACCAAGAGGGACTTCACTGCCAGATGTCCCTAAGATGCTTTTTTTTAAACCCACAACAGGGAAAATGTATGAAAACACTAGATTCCGAGGGCTCTGTACAGCAGGTGGCCTCATGATAAGTGATTTTGCTCAAAATATGTGCCCCCAAATTTGACCAGGAGCAGGGACTTCTAGGGCTGAATGGGACAGAGCTTCTGCTTGGGGGGCTTATGATGGGGACACCGAGAGAGCCCTGACCATCCTGCACCCTTAAACTGTGGGTGCAGTTTCCTATACTTACATGCAGGGAAAGTGGGAGCTCCACGCCCCAACTTCTGCTCTCCAAGGCCACCCATCGGCTCAGGTGAGCTGACGCCCCCGCCCGCTGTCACTTTGTTTCTGTAGGTGGCACAGACCTTGGTTAATTCTTATCTGAAGGGCTGTCATTTGCTTAGACGGTCAATGTGGAGGCGGCTTCCTGCCTCCTCCAGGCGCCTTCCTTTGAAAACACCCGGG